ATACCAAATGTGCAATACACAGGTATATCTTGCACAGTGTAGTTGACCTTTTTAAATTTGCAGAAGGCTACCAGACTCCACTTGTCTCTGTCCTTGGTATAGGCCTGTTCTCTTTATCCATTTTCATTATAATGCATTGCTTCTAAAAGCTACCTAAATAAAAGATGAGCTTTAATTGATTAACTGTGTGACAATTATGCTGAATTACAAAAAGCAAGAGTAATATATTTGTGTGCCAGCATTCACTGTTATCACCTTGTCATATTAATTTTAGGCATAAAGTGGTGTTTAGTGCAGTTACAAAGTCTTCCTCCTGGGACATTCCATTGATCTTCTCCAGTTCCTATCTAATCAACATCAGCCATAGCTTGTGTGTTTTCTCTTGTCTGAACTTGAAAAATGAACACCTCCATTTCATACTCATGCAACATCTGAAAATAATAAAATTTTAAAATAGGAACTTTTCAGACATATATAATTACCTGTTCAAATGTTTAAAACTGAGAGACAATATCATTATCAGCATTGTCATAGACAAATTATAAATGTTAGGGGAGGGGAACTTGTGACCGGCTCGCTCAAATGGTAGTCACAGTGTGTGCTCTACTTGTCATATCCCTTATATCTTAACAATTATACTGATTTGAAGGAGTGTAATTACTTACCATTGAAAGCCCTCTTTTCCTGTATGCATATCTCGATGGTTTATCACTCACAATTTCACCTGACTGCTTGGGCAATTTCTGGATTCAGAACATGTATCATTGATACAGCGTCAGGTAATCATTCTTTCTCCATATTTGTCAGTAACTTTTACTTCAGAGGGTATCACGTAACATCAAATCTCAAAGTCGTAGGGTTCCATGAAGTCTTTACTTGTTTTTGCTTCTGCTGATTGCAGGAATAAATGAAAGGACATGTTGTTTGCAGAACTGCTTGTAAATAGGTATGCTGCACAGAAGTGTCCTTTTCCCTTTCGAACTCTCCCCATTTTCGTGAAAACACGAGCAAAACTGATGTGCACACCTGTACCCATATGCTCCATAAAATGGTGGACAGAGAACATGCTCACAGGACCACCTTCTCTTTGTCATTTCCACTTTAGCCTTGTATTCGAGGTTTTCGGGTTAGTCTTCAGGTGTGTATTTTCACAAATCCAGCGATATACTGTCCAAATCAAACACATTTAATATTTTGATCTCAGGTCATGTTTATTTGTTTATTAAGTGTCTAAAGATTATAAAAAACACCGTTACATTTCAGTCATTATGTAAAATTGCACCAATTGTACAAAAACCCTATTTTGGTCACTGCTGTCACAGCTAGTAACCATTTAAGGAAAAACAAGTCACTTACTCTTAATAATATTCATGTTTTATTTGTTATCTTTAAAGTTGAAATTGTAACAATCTAAAAAACCAATACTTTGATTAAATAAATAATTTGGATGGCTTTGATACTCTATGACTTGTAAATGTTATTTTGCATATCAGTTTAAAAATTAATAAAAAAGTTTAAAAGGTATTATCACTAGTACAAGTAAACAGTCCATGTCACAAACTAAGCTAAATAATTTTTACGAAAATTCAAATCCCTTGTAGTTGTGGTATGAATTGCTGTCTAATTTTCATACTGATGCAGGATGAGAGAATAACTCCAATTTCTTTCCCTGTACTCCCGATAGCCATCTGACTGTATGCATTAAACTGTGGTCTCCTGGAAATATAGATGCCTTTCATTCCCTCCTTCAATTTCTTCTTTTTCCTGTTCCGTTTCCTGTCACTTTTTTAGTCGTAGCCAGATATTTCAACAAACATTGTAAGCTTTCCTCCTCGCTATCGCCAGAGACACATTTCCAAATTGAAGCCATGTTGAAAATATGGCCAACTTTATGATGTCACTCACCAATTAACTTAGATCTCGGCTATTTGTGCGTTATTAATTTCCACCACTCCTCCCAGACCATAGGAGTTAGATGTTAAAACATTGGAAATTGGTAGACTTAACATCGTGTGTATGGACACTTTGGAATTTTAGTGCAACAGGGGCTTGGGCAGTCCCTTAGGGGGTGGTTGATTCTTAATTCTTTTGTCATTGTAATTTCATTTATTTATTTATTTACCTATTGAGAGTATAAACATGATAAATTAAAAATTTATCTTCCCCACAGCCCTCATGAGGTTTGTAAATTTACATAAATAAAACTATTTAAAAAATTAAAAATTGTGTTAAGACCATTAAATGAACTATAAAACTTATAAACAAAAAGGATGATTAAAAATAACAATAAAACATATACAGATTTAACAATAACAACAGTAACAATCCTATTTTGAATAAAATTTAAATTGGCTGATTTAAAACTTTTCAAAGTTTTCAAATTTTGAATGTCATTATGAAGATTATTCCATAAAAGTATAGAGCTCCAAAAGGTCTTTGTGATAGCAGCCTGGCAAATATAACTGCTCTTTGGTTGAAGATCTTGTTTGTCTCTTTGTAACATTAGATAAAATATTATTAAATAAAGTACTCATGTATGTAGGTGTTAAATCATTTCCAAACTTGTATATCATTGTAAATTTCCTTGAATCTATTTTTTCATAAATGTTGAGCCAATTTAAGTTTTTTAAAAAGATTAAAAGAGGAATGGCTTTTGCCTGTTTCTGATGTATAACTAGTATTAACCTAGTAGAACGTTTCTGCCATTTATATGATTCATAGATTTTCGGACTACTGTCCCATACAGGGGAATAGTAGTCTAGGTGAGGGGTTACCTGTGCATTATAGAAAAGTTTTCTCGTTTCTACAAGCAGATAGATTTTGATTTTTCTTAAAAGTGGGAGTTTACTGTCTACTGTCTTTCTAATTTTCTGTATATTCCATCTGAATATTGAATATTCCATGATAGGTAATCACATGTAGTCCCTGGTAGTTTTTCAGAGCTCACATTGTCAGCCAGTTTTCCATTTAAAGTCCATTGTTATTTTTTACTGTTTTCATTTAAGTGTTCCCATTATTGACTCAAAGTAATTAGCATACATGTAGTTTTTTTAAAACACTGTCGACATTTTGTTACTTTCACACCATGTTGTAAAATTTTTCACATCAAAGTTTAGTTTTTGGTTTAGTTCAGAAGTTGTTTTTATCATTTTATGTGAACAACCACAGAGTTTGCAATTTTAAAGGGGCAAGGTGGTCTGAAAAAGTGGACCTTTTTTCCACAAAACTTGCATGTTCCTTGAATAAATTTTAACCCAGAGCAGACTTTCAAAATGAGCCCCCTCCCCCTGGCCTGGCAACAGGCCCAATTAATAAGTCACTGGTGGCCAGTCCACTAAATAAATATATCCCAGCAGTCCTGGCAAAAAGTGCATGCCTATGAGCCACAATAGAAATGACAGGTACATTTCACTTCTAGATAACATCTTGGATTTCACTGCTTTTTCTTCCTTTACAAGAACGATTGAAAACTTAACAACTGACAAAGAGCTGCAGCATGCTGAATCCGTTCACTGGCCTGACTGGCTTGAAAACTCAGTGAGTGTGGCAGATGATATTTTTGAATGCTTGAAACAAGACAAAAAAAAAGTTGCTCTATTTTGATGTTTGCTCTAAGTGTAAGGCAAAAGAAAAATATAATTTTAAAAAATAATTTATTAGTTGGATTGATTGCACCATACAAATTGTTTGAGTAACTACCATAACTGATGCACATAATAAAAATTGGTGTTGGTAGTGTTGTCAAGCATTATGTAATATCACATCAAAAATGAAAAAAATATATCTAATTTTTATTTATTTATTTTTTTTTTTTTTGCTTTTATGTTTTAAAATGATAATATTATTATTAGTATTTGCATGGAAGGCTTTGAAGATGTAAAGGATAATTTACTTGGACTATTGGTTGCTAAATAAAAGGAAATTGATGTGAACTAAATTTCCTGTAAACAGAATAAAGTTACATGTGTATGGTCATAATTTTTAAGAAGTGGGGAAATGAGATATATATCTAATTTTCTTGCTTGACCTGATTAATAAACTGAGAGAAAACAGTGTAAAGTTAACAAGGGAGAGAACATATCTGAAGGAAATAAACTGGAATGAAATAAGAAATACAATATATATATATATATATATATATATATATATATATATATAATAAAAAGAAAAAACTAACATCAGCTATTTTGCCCCGACCGGTTTCATTCTTTCTTCAGGGGGTTTTGTTTATTTGTTACTAGGTGATGTCATAAAGGCTAAAATGTGACGTCTGTAACAATAGGTGTTTAATTGTTGCTTTTACCAATGCTATTATCTATTCAATGTAGGTTTATACTTATTAATGAATAGATTTTCTTTCATTTCCCTTTCTGTTTGGGTTGTTTCCCTACATTGAATATTTTAGCCTTTATGACATCACTTAGTAACAAATAAACAAAAACCCCTGAAGAAAGAATGCAACCGGTCGGGGCAAAATAGCTGATGTTCGTTTTTTCTTTTTATTATATATAATATATACTCGTACAGGAAAAACACTTTTACGTTTTATATATATATATATATATATATATATATATAGAGAGAGAGAGAGAGAGAGAGAGAGAGAGAGAACACAAAAAGTGAATAAAATAAATTAATTATTCTGGAAATGAATCCATTGTATGTGGTCATATTACAGATAGTTACTTACATTTTCTTTCCCTTGCCAAATCTTTGACATGCTTTATCAGGACATCTGTTGCTTAGTTTTGCTTTAACTGTCTGTGTCTGTGTAAAGAAAAATAAAATCTATTGTATCTCAGTGTAAGAAACCAACTTCATGTTGAAGAGTGAAAGGCACATTAATTCCATTTCCATGTTTTTGGATTACATGTTCTAATATAAACATTTTGCAATTTGGAAAATAAGATCTGTGTCAAACACATTTCTCCACAGAAGATTGGCTGATTTACTGTTGGAAAGGAAAGTAGAAGTGTGCTAGATGTGCTAGATTGTTTCAGATGGAGTCCAACACACTTGTCTTGTATGTGGAAAAGATACTTTCTCTGAGGAATACCTGTCAAAATGCTCAAGCTCCTCTGCAGATGCTGAACAGATTTTAAAGAAAATAGCAGAGGCAAAGAAAGAAAAAGGTATTCTTATTGCAAAATTTAGTATTGCTAAAGTAATACCTTATATATTTACAAAACTTAAGCAGAATGAAATTATTGCACCAAAAAATTGTGTTATCTTGTAGATGTGCAGGATTTAATTAAAACATCCTGTTTAGACATTTTATAGTCTAACAGCTAATTTTTCACTGTTAGGATGAATAAGTACAGTATTATGAGTAAGGTTTGTTTTTTGTGTTTTATTACCTCCATCCAAGATAACTGGTTTAGTGTTTAAATTACCATCTGGACTGGGAAGTGACCATACCTTTCATAAATAAATACTTTGAAACACATCCAGATAGACTATTCTGTAATGTCAGTTTTATTTGCTTCTTCTAAAGGCCCCTCATCTTTTTATTCAGACTTCAAGATGGTACTGGAGCTATCTGGGCACTGTCTTTCTGAGGTCAGTGACCACCTGCACCCTATGCACATCTTAATGATCCGATTACATGACAGTGCATTTGATGCATGTATAGAGTTACAGAAGTGGGACCTAGCTCTGGTGTATGCCAGTAAGACAACAGAAGCATACAGGTTAGAAGGGAAAAACCATTTGGAGTAAATTTAAAGGCCCACATTATATTGGGCTATGCCTGAAACTGGTAGCATATAAATATTCAGTTGTCAGGTATATATTACTTTTTAAAAAAGTTTGTAAGCTTCTAACTTTTTAAAAGTTTAAAATTGTTGAAGCACATTTATATCATTCTCTATCCTTACTTGCAGAATGACAGAAATCAGTGGATTTTCATGGCTTTTTTTTATAATATTCAAGAAATGAATTTTTCCAGGGAATTTTATGCGGCATATCATCCAAATCTTGGTATTCACTTGATGAAGATTGGTAAAATGCAACAATATCTTAAACAGATTGAACCAGCGTTGAAGAATCTTCAGCAGGTATATAATTACTTAAATATTTCAACTTCCAAGTGAGTATATAAGGATAAGTAAACATAGTTGACAACAGGTGTTATTTAAGGGACTGCTTGCTGTTTTTTTTGTTTCCATGTTCATCAATGTTTCCACAATTTTTCCAGGCTGAAGACATTTTGCATGTGAGTCATGGAAAGAGCCATTCTTTGTGCCAAGATCTAAAGATACTTTTAAAGCAGTGTGAGGAAGAGCTAAGAATTCAGCAAGGGAGAACATAACATTATACAGAGTCCTCATGTAAACTTCTATTTCTCTAAATATGGATTTTTCAAGAAAGCATGGTTGTTACACTACTTTTCAGATCAAAACTGAACATCTTAAATTTTAATTTAAGGGTAATTGGAGAGGGAGAGAGAGAGAGAGATTCAATTAAAAAAAAAATTAACACTATTGAGGTACTGTGAACATACATTTTATTTCACCCTGCTGTTCATTTTCCACATAAGACTAGAAGATGTAAATAATTTGATATACAAGTATCTGTAATACCAGGGCCAGAGATATCTAGTGAAGTTGCTTTCTACTTCAGGTCAGTAATTTTGGCATTTCAGAAAACTGCATTCAAATTCACACATAGTACTGGCTGGGTCAGCCCAATTCTGTGGATTCTCACTTAAGGGTATTGAAACCCTTTGTTATAAACCAAATAACAAAAATGATTTTTTTTCCTGTATTTAATAATACGTCTTTCTTTGTGCCGATTTTAAACAATGAAAAAGTCCTCAAAAATATAAAATTTTAGCGTTTATATTTTTTCAATGCAATGTATAAGCATAGGGATCTCGAAGCTATAATCGTCAATTTAACCTTTCTATTTTGAGGCGAGATAGCAATTGGTATGAGTTGGACCAACCCAGCTACTACAAAGTTAGCTTGAATGTGCCAATAGTGACCTCTATATCATGGGACCCCGTTTGAAAACTTATTATAGAAAGGAGATGGAAGTTGGCATATAAATTTGCTCCTTAGAGCAATGCTATTTTAAGTAGCTATACATATCAAGTATCAATAAATAAACCAATTTATCACTACCATGAACAGGGTGTAGTAGGGGCTTTCCTTAAAAAATATAATGCAGTTAAGGGCATTTCTTTTATTTCTTTACTCTACAGTATTCTAAATGTAAATGTATTTTGGAAAAATTACAAACTTGTGAAATTCTAGCACCAAGATGTTATTTGCACTCTATGGCACAACATACAATACAAAAAGTGTAGAGTACAAATGGCGCCAGAAATACATTGCCTCCTCTCTTACTTCTTTCTATGCTTACCTATATAGCTAACAATTTGAAAATCCTGACAATATTGGCCAAGTGTGAACTCTACCACATTACCAGCAAAATATCTTAAAGGGATAATAACTCTTCGTATGAAATCTGTATTTCACAATAAAAACATTGTGAGTGACTCATAAAAATATAATATATTCTGTTTTCCCACAAAAACGGCTGTTATAGCTATTATTCTGATATCTGAGCTTGTCTTTTGACCACGTGACCTCCATTGATGGCTATACTATGTTAAAATCTCTTAAGAGATTTTAACAAAAAACCAAACTTTTTAGAAAAAAACCAGGGACTAACTTTGAATGTAAAAATGGATTCATTAACCATTGGTAAGTATGGGAAAATTGTTGTTTACTCCAGGAAAATTCATTTTTTGGCCGAAACGAAGAGTTATTATCACTTTAATATATATCTACTGAACTATATACATCACAGATTTCAAATACATTTCCAAAAGGAATGGTCTACAATTTTGACAGTAAGGAGGCTATGTGTTAACAGATAATTTTAACTTTTTACTGACCTAAGCAGATGTCATGTCTAAGCTACAAATTCCTTGCTCTTTAATACCAACATGTATATTTTGTGGAAAAAGTTTACAATTCATTGGTCAGGTAAACAATATTTCTACATAATTTTACACTTAACATAGAGACACACAAACAACATATGAGTAATATATCTAAGGTGGGTAAAGTATGGCTATAACTGTGATTATTGATTAATTCTACCTTACGCGTGGAATACAAGTAATTCTTTATTCAGTTTTATGTGCTAAATCATCAAGTTTCAAACAAAGTGTGGATTTGGTTTCAGTTTACTCTGGGTATTGATAACTTGACGTCTTCTTAATTATGTATCACCTTAAAATTCATCCAATTCCAAACACCCAATGGTTCACTGGGCCCCGATATCAGACTTCAAAGCCATCTCATCACTAGCATAAATCTATCTCTAGTGTGCTTCCACACTGCCCTTTGTTGGACTCACTCTAGCATATTTTAAACAATTAAATGTACAGTTTCAGCCACACCAATATTTTGCCAAATGATTAACAGTGGAACATAAGAATTGAAAATTTAACATTTTCCTCTGCCAAAATGGTTATCAACTTCAATTTCGCTGGCTAATGTGAGCCCAGCTCAGGTGATGAAACATCAGACGGCACAAAAGCCATGATAAGCTCAGTGCTAATAGAGGGCAGTGTAAGCATGCTGAGTCACATCTACTTATCTTTTATTTGAGTCTTTGACTCTTTAAAATGTCACAAGGAGCTTTTACCATTTCTTCTTATGCTCATCCATGCTGACTCCTCCAGGACCTAGAGCAACTACAAGTAACAATCCTCCAACTACAGACATGGTCTGGAAAAAATCATACTTCAGGAAATCTCTCATTGGCTTATAGTCTGGGATAGTCCACCAAGCATTGAAATAAAGATTCATAGAAGTGAGCCATACAACTAGGACCAGGGCAGCCAACTTTGTCTTGTAACCTACAGCAATTAATCCTATCAAGAGCAATCCAATCAAATTCTGAACTATGTGGAGAAATGAGAACTCAAAGCGTAGAAGTGTCAGGAACATGAGCACAAGGAGAATGCGACCACTAAGCTGCATGTATGTCTTAGAAGTATTTTCCCCCATGGATGGAAGACCAGCAAACAGGCTTTTACCCTCTGCCTTGCTCTCAGCTAACAGTAGTATCACGCCTCCTGCCAAAGCCAGGTTTCTGAAATTAATATAACATGAAACTGAATACAATGTTAAATAAAACAAACAAAAAATTTTCAAAAAGTGGTGCATACCATCAGTGTTGGAAATTATCCAAGTCCATGTCTGGTAACTTTTGGGGTAGATGGATAACTATTTAAAACAACATGCCTGGTGGCCAGGTAACTTATGAGAAAATGATGAAGCAATTGTCAGATTCACAATTTTTGTTTTTAGATGTTAATTTAAAAAAAAAAACAAAAAAAAACTGGCAAATATACAGACACCATACAGGAAAAAAGGCAGCAAAGCTGTAAAATTTTCAGATATTATGCAGAAAAAAATGGACAAAATAATGTTTTCGCCAATTTTGATGCACTGTTACACACTTCTTTAAATAGTATAACCACTGAAAAACTAGTGATTCAGTTCCATGGGATATAAAAGCCATTGAAAATGTAAATGTGTGAAAAATGAAAATTTCACGAAATAAAAAAAGTAAATTATTATCGTAAATGTAAACCGATCATGCCTCTTTACCAAAAAGAGCCACTCAGTAAATTGAAATGAATACAAAAATACTATTTGAAAGTTATGGGGCAAACATTACCAAAATTGTGATTAAAAAAAAAAGTATATATATATAATAATTACTGAAAATGTAAATCGATAGTAAATTTTTGAAAGCAGCCTGCTTCTTTACCAAACAAAGCCACTCAGAAAATTAAAACAAAAATACGGTTTGGAAGTTATGGTGCGAATGTCATGTATCACAAATTGACAAGGGTGCATTTCAACGAGCGTCATGCCCAGGCCAGTGTCAAATCTTCTTCCAGAATGGAAAAAAAAAAAATGGATTGGCCATCAGTCAGTATTGCATATATGAGGGGGAAAAAATCATGCTCATTTTTTTAACTTTACTAGTTTTTTATTAATATTCATCAGTTCTATAAGTTTGAAGACAAATGGTAAACAGTTTTTGACTTATCTTGTTGTCAATGAAAGTGTAGGGCGACAGTGAGGACTGATACAGGTGACGGCTACATGTACAGACACAAAAGTAGGACTGATAACTTTTGGGCAGGACTGGTAACTTTTGGAGTTGCAAGTCCTGGAGTCTAGCTGGCATTTTCCCAGAATTTCTAACAATGATATCATGTTCTCTTCTTGATAGTATTTGTATGATAGGTGCAAACACATCTGAGATCACGCATCTTCAATAACATTTCATATCATGATGAATATTTTACAAAGTTTAGTAAGGAAATTGTTTCTGATAGGAAAATGATAGTAATATGGTGAACTTCCCTCAAAAAGAGCTGACTACAAACAAATCTAAAGGAATCTAAATCAACATTCCAACTTACCTCATAAGAAATCTCACATCCCACAAAATGCTATATGCTATGGTCTGGAAAATAAAAACAAAAAGGATCAAACTGAATCTGTGCCTTTGAAACAACTGAATATTTAAATGTATGTTTTATGTCTCACAACATATTTTAATTAAGAGTCTGCGTAAATGTAGATATATTTTGTATCTTCAAAATTGCACAATTGCAGCACAATACCAATTGCAGCAAAAAGTACTCTTCCACAGAGTTTGTTTCTACATGGGCCAAGGACTTATTGAGCAACTTCTGCTCCCAAAAACAAAAAGCTCCTGCTTCAAGCTGTCGTGTTTTGGATGTGGATCATTATGTGAATATTGTAAACCTTGGCATTTTGAAAAAACGGCGCTGTGAGTATTGCTGCAAGAACAGTGAAACTAATGAGAGAAGAGAGACTAGGATGGGCTGTGAGGTGTGTTGTAAGTGATTATGTCCTGGTGACTGTCATTTCAAATACCACAGATACAGACATGAGAATATGTGATTTTATAACCATAATTCCTGTATGAGAAAAAACTTTGACCAGTTTAGAATAGCAATGAGTCAAATGGTATAACAGAATCAGCACAAGTTCAGCAGAGACGTTTTCAATTCTTATTTTGTGAGTCCAATTGAGAAAAATCCATTTTTTTCTGTTTTGTTGATGAAAATATGCAAACTAGCTCATTAATATGCAAAAGTGAAAATTGTCATCAAAGAAATAATGAAAACTGTTGCCATCAAAATATAATTTTGTTCAAGCCTGTTTCAGAAAACATTGTTTTCTCTTGCAGCAAGTACTTGAACAAAATGAAACATTTTGACAATATTTTTGGGGAACATACATTACCTAGTATTAGCCATGATGCAAAGCCCCTTGAGTTACAGTTTAAATATTTAGAAACACATCCTTACGTCATGTCTAATTTACCACTAAAAAATATATCGGAACATGGTGTAAAAATTAAAAT